CTATGCTACTGTGGGCAAGTTACTTTTTAAGCTTACAGTGATCAAAGTTAACACTGCCAGTAATTAGACATATTGGCATCTCATATCCCCTGATATGACACACTGATAAGGGCATATCACCTCTGTGATATTATTGTCCCAAATTCATAACCTTTATCTAATTAAGAGAAAACATAGGCCAAACTCAAAGTGAAGAGTGTTCTACAAAATAATCAGTTTTTTAAAAAAGAATCAAGGTCATGAAAGACAATAAAAGACTATGCAAATGCCACAGATTGGTAGAGAATAAGGAGACATGACAAATTAATGTAGGATCTTAGATTAGATCCTAGAACAGAAAAAGAACATAAGTGAAAAAAATGGTGAAGTTTGTACTTTACTTAATAGGTCTGTAGTTTACTTAATAGTACTTTATGAATGCTAATTTCTTGGTTTTGCTAATTGTTTCGATTATGTAAGCTGTTAAAATTAGAAGTTGAGTGAAGAGATACACGAACTCTATGTATTATTTTTACAACCTTTCTGTAAGTGTAAAATTATTTTAAAGTAAAATGTTAAAAAACAGGTTAAAAGGCCAAGGACATTTGATGAGATGGGATGATGGGGGAAAGATAACTGCCAGGATATCTATGCATGGGTTGCCTCTCATTAATTTTGCTTGAGGCATGATGAATTCTTCTTTGATTTGTAAATTCAAGTCACAGTGTTTTTGTTTTTGTTTTGCTGTTAAAATTTCTGCACATTCTTTTCGTTTCATTTATTCTGTATTCTTTTCTTGAGAATTACTATTTTTTGGTTGGACCTGTCTCTCTGCTCTCTCTATTCTAGCATTTTATCTCATCATTTCATCTTTCATGTTATTGTCTTTTACATTCTGGAAGAATTAAAAATATCCTTCTCTATCAAGGGTTTCATTTTCTTATGTGACTACTGGCCCATTATGACAAAGGCAAATATGATTCTTTCCATCATGTCAATAGTTTTTGGACAGTATTTTCTTACACTAGCCAGCAACCATTTCATTTTTCCTATTTTTCAGTTTGCAATTGTTTTTAAAAGATCTATTACTGAGAATATGGGATATATCTTAAAAATTATATTTAATTTCCTCTCATACATATGTTCTTATACATATATACATATTTATACTATTCATCCTTGCCTTCAATGTAGTGCCATATTCAATTTTTTTTTTCACAGAATCCATATAATATAAATATATACTTTTCTGTTTACTCATCCTTGAATGGGGATCTACCCATGACAATTAGAACTGGTGTCACAAACACTTGATTCTCCTTACTGTGCTATGTCCCCTCTTTTAGATTTACATCAAAAAAGAGGCTTGGTGGACACAGAACCTACACAATTTGTAATGTCTAAGTGGATGAGCATTTATCGCTCCTCCTGCTTCGTTCTTTATGAGTAAAAAACTTATTCTAGAGAATCTGAGGCTGTCTATTGTTTGACTATGTATAGCATACATGAAAATTTATACCCTCCTTATATATTCAGAGCTACAAAGCACCAGCTTTTCCTGCCTCTGCTCTCTAGATTACATTGCTTTATACTTGTCCTTCCTAGGTTTTTCAGAATACAACACAATTTTAGTCTCTAAATTGATTTATAAGAAGTATTAATGATACTCAAATGAGGAAATGGTTGGGAAAAAGATACTGGTAGTGGAATCTTTTTGTGAAGTAGAGATAGTTGCTAATTTTTAGGTAGGTGCATGCTCCGGGCCTCTGAACTAGAAGCAGATAGTGGTAGTAGTTCAGATCCCTCTCCAATTTATTTCTGAATCACACTTTGTAGACCACTACTTGTGTTTTTCATTTAAGTCCAATCAGTCCTTTAACTAGAAGAAATTCCTTATAGCCTGGGCAAGTGGTTAAATATGATCCTTAATAGCTGTATGTTTTCATCGATTGTTAATAGACATGGGAGTTAAATAAAATACACATTGAATTTAATCCATATGAGAACAATTTTATTAGATACTTATATTAATGCAAAAATGTAAAAACACTGTAAGAAAACCGAAACACTTTAGAATTCTCCACTCATACCCTTTATACCTTGGGATTTGATATTTATCTTAGAAATATAATAGTTCATATACCCAGAAATACAGATTTCCCTTTTGTTCCTTCCTACTCTAATTCAGTGGGATAATTTTGACGTTATGTGGTTTTGCTTTTTTTGACTTTAAAACTTAATTCTCTTTTTTTTCTTTTTCAAAATTACAGATGGGGTCTCGCCATATTGCCAGGCTGGCCTCAAACTCCTGGCTCAAGTGATCCTCCCGCCTTGGCCTCCCAAAGTGCTGGGGTTCAGGTGTGAGTTACCACACGTGGCCTAAAACTTATTTCTGTGTGAGATGTTACTGCTGAATTAGGGAATGATGGCCCTAATTAGTATCATATTTATCTAGTTACCTCTATATTGGTCTGTTTTGTATTTACTCGTTTTTGTATTTGATTTGACAGAGTATGTAGGCTGTGGCTTACAGTCAATGAGTAATTTCTGGTAAACAGTACTTCATAGCAGTTAGACTTGTGCTTTGAACTCTGCATAAGGTTTCTATTTTATGGAATAGATTTGTTGCTTCAAGATAGTTTTGACATCTGAAATTCCTACTTTGGGATATCCTCAATTAACATTCATAAAGTTGTAATCATTAGAGTTTTAAAAATGAGTTTTACACTTATAAAAACAACAACTCTTCCAAAGAATATTTCCACCTTTCTATTTTAAAAGTCACCAAGATTTTTGGTACTAGAGAAAATTTGCATTGGAAGTAAAAAAAGGCTAATGTTTCAAATGTCATTCACTAATATTTTAATATTAGTAATATGTTCTAGAAAAAGATTGTTTTGTAATGTAGAACAACATTTGTATATTAAGATTTCCATGTTATAATACAAATGCACTATAAATAAAAATAGATAATTTGCCACATAGTAATACATGCATATTAAAGCATTTCTACAGCATTATACAGTTCTAGAAAACTACAGAAGTGGTTTTGGAGTTTCTGTCTCTGAGTGGGGCATCATTTTGTATTGAGGGTCACTAAATCACCTAAAGAAAAATATTGAGTATAAAATGCATAGAACATTTAACCTTAAAAAGTAAAAATGAGAAACACAAAATTCTACATAATTGTCTTGTGTTTCAGTTTTGACTTTGGAAGTCTATTTTTTTTGTCTCTAACAAAAGAGGAATTGGTAATTATTATTATTTTTTAATTTTAGAGATCTACATGGTCCCACTCTGTTGCCCAGACTAGAATGCAATGGCGTGATCATAGCTCACTGTAACCTTGAAACTTTGGGCTCAAGTGATCAGTCTGCCTCAGCCTCCTGAGTAGTTAGCACTATAGGGGTGCACCACCATGCCCGGCTAGTTTTTAAAATTTTTATTTTGTAGAGGCAGGGTCTCATTATGGTCTCAAACTCCTGGCTTCAAGCAATCCTCCTACCTTGGCCTCCCAAAGTGCTGGGATTACAGGCATGACCCACCACACTTGGCCAGAATTGGTAATCTTTATATGACTATATTGAAGAGTAAGATACCAGTTTCTCCGTACAATTTCTGATGTTACCTAATCACAGATCTAAGAAAATTTAGAGAAATATATACTCTTAAGCTAGAAGAATTAAATTTTAAGAACGTTTAACATTAACATCCTTTGGAAATTTCTCCTATCCAAATACCACCCACCACTCCGTCCTCTATTCAAATTATTCAGTTTGTATAATTGTATAAATTATACAATTTCCATCACTTGTGATACAGCTCTCTCTCAGTAACTGAAAATAACTATCACTTACATAATATGGCACAGCAATATCAGCCATTTCTGCAGAAGTATATTTGGAGTAAATGTTAATGACAGAAGAAGTTTGTTTTAGATATTCTAACAATACTAAAAATGAAGCCTCTATAAGTAATGTTTAGTAACACTATAGGTTTTGACAATATGTCAAAATTATTGTTTTATTTCATGTTTGGTGTATAGTGGTAAAGTCAATGAAGGGATGCAGTGAGTGGTAATGGCGGTGAGTGGTAATGGGGTGAAGGGACACGAGAAGATCGGGAGGTTCCTTAAAGTAGACTGTCTTGGTATTGAGTTCAACACATAGGATGGGCCAGAACATAAATATGAGTGTGAAATAGCTAATATCCATTATTTTAATGCAAAGACTATGCCTATCTTCCTCACCAAAGTACACTGCATACAGAATTCATATTACCATCTCAACAGTTGCTCTTTACTGCAGATAAAGTTCATTTCCTTAAAGGGATGATGCAAGAGTTTCACTAAGAAACTTGTTCATGAGGGAATAGGAAGAATTCCCTGCTACATAGTAGATAGTCAAAATATATTGAGGATATACATGGGTATAACTAGATTATCATTCTTTGGCCTGAATCTGACTAAGAAGGCATGAATATGATTCCCAGACTGGAAGAGGAGATCATTAATTGTTTTCATCTCCCCATAAATGTCACATGTCATCAACATAGATAATAAAAATCAGAGTACTGTATATTAAATATCTAGAATAGGCAAATTCATATAGATAGAATATAGATTACAGGTTACCAGGGACTAGGGGTTGGGAAGAAGCACGAAGGAGGAGTTTTTGCTTAATGGGTGCAGAGTTTCAACCTGGGGTGAGGAAAAGGTTTGGAAACAATGGTGATAGTTGCATAGCATTGTGAAAGTAATTAATGCCACTGAATTGCACACTTAACAATGGTTGAAATAGAAAAATTTTAAGTTGCATATGTTACCACAACAAATAAAAAAATGACCATTATAGTTAATTTAGAATTATGTTTCCTTCACACGAAAGAATTTGCTAATTCTGTACTTCTGATCACAAATATGACGTAAATATCCAAAGTTGTTCCTTTCTAGAAGAGAAAGTTGGAAAACTTGAAATACAATGGAAGAAATACAGAGCAAAAAGTCAAAACAAACTTCTTACTTTAATTGGTTCAGGCTGCATCACAGGCGCAGGCATACTGATGGCACTTGGAGCATAAACCTGGTGATATGTTGTTTGAACTCCATGATCACAATAAGGCTATTATAAAAAAAGAGAGAAAAAATATCACCTTTCATTTATTAATTCAAAATATTTACTCAGCATTTACAATATACTAATCATCTAGCTATACAATGTAGAAACAGTTAAAAACACATTCCCTTATGTTTAATTTTATAATCTGATGAGTTAATATAATGAATTAGCTTATAATCTGATGAGGGAAATAGTAGTCAGAATGATCATAAGTTCTATAGACACATATAGGGATACAATAGGCAAGGGAAGAGATTATGTAAATGCAGTTACAGCTTGTCCAGCAGATGGTGGTACCATTCACTGGAATATAGAATACAAGGAAAGCTCAATACTCATGTAATTGTGTGTGAGGGGTTGGAGAGAAGGAGTTAGGTTTGTGATATACAAAATTTGTGGTATTTGTAGGAATTCTAGTAGAGGTATACTGTTGATAGATGCGGCTCTAGACCAGCACTGTCAAATAGAAATATAGTGTGAGCTACATATGTTATTTAAAATTTTCCCATTGTCATGTTAGAAAAGTAAAAAAAAAAGGTTGAATTAATTTTTAATAATGTCTTTTATTTAAACTAATACATATTAAATATTATCATATAAAAGTACAATCAATTTAAACATTAGCAAGATGTTTTACATTCTTTCTTCATGCTGTGTCTTGAAAACCCAGTATGTATTTTACACTTAGGGGACATCTCAATTCTGTCTTACCACATTTCAAGTGCTCAACTGCCACATGTGGCTAGTGGCTATTGTAGTGGATAGTGCAGTCTAAAACTCAGGAGTGAGACTGGGGCTAGATATATGGCTATGGATGATAACATCAGAGTGAGTATATGTGGTGAAAGAATGGAGAACCAAATATGAAATCTGCTTAAAAAGGAAAACAAAAGGAGGTAAAAGCATTGCCAGAAGAGAGTAGTATTATGGAAACCAAGGGTAGGAAGAGTTTTAGAGAGTAGGTACAATGTCTCTGGGACGTCAAATAAGATTAAAAAGAAAGGAAAGTTTGTGTCGGTTAGAAAGTCATTGAGGACCTTTACCCAATGCAGCCTCAGCAGAAAGGTAATGAAGTAGACTTCAGCAGGTGAGGAGTGAATGGGTAGTGAAGTAGCAGAAATTCTGAATGTAAACTACTTTTTCTAGAAGTTTGGCTTTGAAAGGTAGCAGAAAATTAGGGAATTGGTGGGAGTGTGTGTCACAGGATAATATTGCCTCTTACAAGGTGCTGGGCACTATACAAAGAACCTTGTATACCATATCTCTAGTCTTTACATCAATCTTGCAAAATAGTTTTTCCTGATGTCCTCATTTTACAAATAAGGAAATTATGAAAGCAGGACTATGAAGGGTTAAGTAATTCCTCAAAGTAACACAGTTAGTAAGTGGTGAAGCTGTAAACCAATGGAGAGAAGAAGACTTCAAATACAAGAGAGAAAAAGAACAGTAGATGGAATGAGGTCCCTGAGGAGGAGGGAACTGATAGCATCTAGACTGCAAGAGGTAGAAATAACCTTGGACAAGACTGAATGTCACTAAATAAATATAAGAAGCTAAGGATGAGTTAGGATACAGGTAAGTTTGTGTTTCAGGGGTTGGAGCCTGAGTTGGTTTTCACAAATTGGTTCTTTCTTACTCTGCAAAACAGAAGGCAAAGCTATATTCTCAGAATGACATGGGCAGGTGGTGGAGTGGGTGCAATCTGGTAGTACTGAGGACTCGGCAAAAGTTTAAAATAATCATTGAAATAAGTGAGTGAAGATGGTAACTTTTTTTTTTTAAAAAAGGAAATCTGACTATAACACTAACAAGAAAAGTCCTGAAGTTCTTAATTTTAGGGAAAAAAACACTTCAACTGTAAACCATCCCACTCTATTCATTAAGTTATATATTAGTCAGACTATACCCGCTACTAGAAACAATACCAAAACAAAAACATGCAAATATTTTGTATGGAAATACCACACAAAGTACAAGTTATAAGGTAATGATGAGCAATATTTTCAGAAAAGAATTAGATTCCATTAAGTAGTGCATATATTCTTATGGTAAGTATCTGATATCAGGAATTAAAAATATGATCTAATGCCAAAAGAGATTCTGACAAAAAATCAAATGTAAAACCATTCTTATCTCACTACCTGTCCTTGCAAACCAGAAAACAACAAAAAGAACAAAATATAGATTTTTTAAATGCCATCATCAATTAAAGAAGAAAATGCCTATGACTCCCAAACTATACACAATGTAGAATGTCTGCCAAGTGCTGTGCAAGTTGGACCAACATAAGGGAGGATTCTGAAGCCTCCTGAGGCTTCAGAAAGGATAAAGATTTCCCTAGAGGTCGATGTTCTGGAAGACCTCCTCAGAGATACTTTAGAGTCTTGAGTGCAGAAGTATGTACTGGTCAGGGTGAGGTAGAAGCACAAAATATCTCCACAGAGATCCTATTAATAATTAGGATAATAATTAAAATAATTAATAATCCTGACTTAATAACAGGGGAGGCAGAACTGATGGATACATCATGTTTCTACAATTTTTCTTGTCTACTACCTAGCCTGAGGAATACTACTGCTGGAGGTGAAGCAGGGGGAAAGTGGCAAAGGAAGTAGCAATTGCCACATCCCAATACAGAACCCCTGTGATAAAAAGGGCTTTACAAGGAACAAAAATGATCTCTGGCAAGGATGTGGAGGAAAGGGAATCCTTGTACACTGCTGGTGGGAATGTAAATTAGTATGGCCATTTTGGAAAATAGTAGGGTGGTTTCTCAGAAAATTAAAAATACTATCATGTGATCTAGAAATTCCACTACTGTGTATACACATCCAAAGGAAATGAAGTGAGTATGTTAAAGAGATATCTGCATTTCCATGTTCACTCCAGCATTATTTATAATAGTCAAGATATGGAACCAACCTTAGGCTCCATCAATCGGTGAATGGATAAAGAAAATGTAGTACCTATATACACAATGGAATACTGTTCAGCCTTAACAAAGAAGGAGATCCTGTCATTTATGACAACATGGATGAACCTGGAGGACATTATGCTAAGTGAAATAAGCCAAGCACAGAAAGACAAATACTACATGATTTCATTTATATGTAGAATGTGAAAAAGTTGAACTCATAGAAGCAGAGAGAAGAATGGTGGTTGCCAGGGGCTGGGGATGGGGAGTGAGATGGGAGATGTTGGTCAAAGGGTACAGAGTTTCAGTTCTAAAGGAAGAATATGCCCTGGAGATCTACTGTATAGCCTGACTATAGTTGATAATAACGTATTATATACTTGAAAATTGCTAAGACTTAAGGTACCTTCAACGTTCTCACCGCAAACAAAAAAAAGGATAACCATGTGAGGTGATGGATGAGCTTGATTGGGGTAATCATTTCACAATATGTACATATATCCAACCATCATGTTATACACTGTAAATGTATACCATTTTTCATTATTTACAATTTAGTAAAGTTGAGGAAAAAAAGAAAAAAGCAACCATAAAAAAATAGGTGGGGCAGGCCGGGGTGCAGTGGCTCATGCCCGTAATCCCAGCACTTTGGGAGGCTGAGGTGGGTGAATCATGAGGTCAGGAGATGGAGATCATCCTGGCTAACATGATGAAACCCCATCTCTACTAAAAATACAAAAAATTAGCTGGACTTGGTGGCACATGCCTGTAGTCCCAGCTACTTGGGAGGCTGAGGCAGGGGAATCACTTGAACCCAGGAGGCAGAGGTTGCAGTGAGCTGAGATCGTGCCACTGCACTCCAGCCTGGGTGACAGAGTGAGAGTCCATCTCAAAACAAAACAAACAAACAAAAATGGGGGGGCATGAAACAAACAATAAAGAAATCCTAGTAAAAGTATTGATGGTAAATATTAAGATCCAACTGTGGAAATTATTGTTTCAGAACAAAATTATGTATTACAAAAGTAATAAAACAATGGACTTAAATTGGGAGGTAAATGCTAATTTCATAATCTTTCATGACACTGATTTAAGACATACTATGCCCATGGTACTGGTACCAAAACAGACACAGATCAATGGAACAGGATAGAGAACTCAAATAAGACCACACATATCTACAAACCATCTGATCTTCAACAAACCTGATAAAAAAAAAGCAATGGGAAAAGAATTCCCTGTTTAATAAATGGTGCTGGGGAGGTCCAGGGCAAGATGGCCAAATAGGAACAACTGTGGTCTGCAGCTTTCAGTGAGACCAATGCAGAAGGTGGGTGATTTCTGCATTTCCAACTGAGGTACCCAGCTCATCTCACTGGGACTGGTTAGACAGTGGGTGCAGCCCATGGAGGGTGAGCAGAAACAGGGTGGGGTGCTGCCTCACCGAGGAAGCACAAGGGGTCAGGGAACTCCCTTCCTCAGCCAAGGGAAGCCATGAGGGACGGTGATATCTGACCCAGATACTATACTTTTCCCATGGCTTTTGCACACGCAGACCAGGAGATCCCCTTGGGTGCCTACACCACCAGGGCCCCGGGTTTCAAGCACAGAACTGGGCGGCCATTTGGGCAGACACTGAGCTAGCTACAGGGTGTTTTTTGGTTCGTACCCTAGTGGTGCCTGAAACCCCAGAGAGGCAGAACTGTTCATCCCCTGGAAAGGGAGCTGAAGTCAGGAGCCAAGTGGTCTTGCTCAGCAGATCCCACTTCCATAGAGCCCAGCAAGCTGAGACCCACTGGCTTGAAATTCTTGCTGCCAGCACAGCAGACTGAGTCAACCTGGGACACTCGAGCTTGGTGTGGGGGACGGGTATCCACCATTACTGAGGCTTGAGTAGGCGGTTTTCCACTCACAGTGTAAATAAAGCCACCAGGAAGTTTGGACTAGGCGGAACCCACCTCAGCACCACAAAGCCACTGTAGCCAGACTGCCTCTCTAGATTCCTCCTCTCTGGGCAGGGCATCTCTGAAAGAAAGGCAGCAGCCCCAGTCAGGGGCTTATAGGTAAAACTCCCATCTCCCTGGGACAA